TAGCGTTAAATCTAAATATCAATACACTTTGTAGACATTTAGATTTATTTACTTTCGATAGAGGGCAGCACAAGCTTCTCTTCCATTGCTGAAGCGAAGCATATGACAGGAATGGAGTGAAAATTTGTAATCAACATTCATTTTGTTTCAAAACATAAAATAAAGCATGTATTGTCAGTTCATCAGAGTAGGTTCGAAAAATTTAATTAATTTCTTCTTATGTTATAATTTGCTGTTTTATTTATTTATTTCTCTAATACAATATTTTTAATAAATAGAAAAACAACGATGGGAGAAAGCATTGTTAAAATAGAGCATTTCTTTCAAAACAATTATGCATAATTCTTTAAATTTTGATATACATTTTACATCAACCGAATTTTAAAGAATTGTTTCGTTTTGTATAATGTATGGGGCAGTAGGAATAAGTCCCACGTGGTCTAGTGGTTAGGATACCTGGCTCTCACCCAGGAGGCCCGGGTTCGATTCCCGGCGTGGGAAGTTTCAATTTTGCATATTCTTTTCTTTTTTTTTTTCTTTTTTTTTTTTAAAGACTAATTCAGTATATCCGTAAGCGGAGTTTCTGTTCCCTTTTTCCGGGCACAGTGCTTTAACATGAACAGCAAAAGAATATTTAAGGATAAAGATAAAATTTTGCAGCTATATACAGATTACAATTTCTCTGTCATATAATTGATTTCTTAATTTTATTAAAATCGTAAACTTGCTTTGAAACGGTAGTATATTCCTCAACGGTTTAATATAATGAATACGTGAGTAAAACCACGAAAATTTCCATGTAGCCTACAATACGCCGAGTTCATTGCATACATACACATAAAAAATATATATATGAAATGAATTCTGCAAACAGAAATAACCCAAATTTTAAGGAGATTTCGAGTGAGTAACATTTACACAATCAGCCTTAGAAACACTTTAAATTTGGTATTATGTTACAAAATAAAAAAATCAATCAGAAGAAACACTATACTATACAGCTTATGAGTTTTACATCTTGGTTTTTAATGTCAGAATATTGAATTCGATAGTGGGAATTGTAAATTTTTATTTTTTACTCATTTCGAAACATTGTGATCACTTTTTTAAATTAATTATTTTTGATTTGACATTGAAATATTTGAATTCGATAGTTCTGGAATTAAAAAAGTGTAAATAATTTTCTTTTTTATTATTTCATTTTGACATTTTGAAACTTTGTTTAAACTTTTTAATCCGTTAATGCGTTAGGCGAAACGCACCCTTATATTTTGAAGCTTTGATGAAATCTCTATTGATTCCATCTCTAATTAAATTTCTATTTATCTGACCTTCTTCTTCTTTTCTTGGGTGTTTTCGTGGTTTTCCCCATGTGTAATGTGTATACGAGCCAGTTTCCCTTAAAAAGTCCTCCACGAAGGCATCCCTCCCCTTAGGCAGATAGCCCTCGAGGCTTTGCCGTAATTAAGTAACATAACCTCGTCTTCTTTTCCCTTAAAAAAAAAAAAAAAAAAAAAAAAAAAAAAGGGGGGGGGTTTTTGGTTGGTTTGAAGAAGAGAGGAATCTCAAAGTCTATAGCGAACTAAAGTTGCTTTAATACCTTATTTTAAATTTACACCGATGTGTTTCTCTTCCGATCTGTCAATGGAATGCTGAAAATTTTAGTCTTTGTCCTTTACTTGGCCCACCAGCTGCTGAGCGATCAAGTCCCTGAACACTGGTAGTTCGGTCCAAATCCTGCGAACGGGCTGGCTGCATGGGCGTTTTTGTGGCTTTTCCTGTGTGTAACGTGTTAATACGGGCCAATTTCCCTTAGAAAGTCCTCCACAAAGGCATCCTATCCTTCCGTGTATGCCTTAGGGCAGAGCACGTAAATAATAATAATAATAATACCCCTTTACTTAAATTCTGGTTCTGTTTAAAATTTTAGACTGTAAAGCATTAGAAAGCTCACTTCAGAAAAATTAAATTTACTTTGATTAAAGATGTTATTCTTGAATGTTGTTTTCCTATAATATTATTAAAAATGGAATGATTACTAACGTAAAAGATGAATATTTAAGCAGTTACACTAACATTATAATTCATTCATTCATTAATTGAAGATCTATTTTTATTCTGTATAAATCTAATGTTTGAATCACTAGTTTCATGGTTAAAATTAACACTAGTTATTTGCAGATTAAGGGTTCTTGAAATATAAAAAATATTCAAAAACTTCTCGCATGGTTCTATACTTTAGTAGTTCATATAGTTGCTGATCAAGAAATACAAAAATTTACCAGTATTAAAGGACACTGAAATAACATAAAAAATTCATGTTAAGATTTTAAATTTATAATTTCGGTAAAAAGTGTCCTGTTATTTTCCAAAAATAAATTACTGTTTTGGCAAAAGTTATATTCTTCATTATTTTTTAATACTTCTTTCTTTTAACTGTAAATATGAAAGCTCCAGAGTAGTAAGGTCTCATAAAGAGTATATTAAATAAATAGGAAAAGAAATTTCGTTCGGTAATTTTTAATGTAAGTAACAACTATTTTAATAAATATCATTCTATTTATTTTCTTGGTAATGAAGCTTATTTCATATTATAATTTTGCATTTTTTGGATTAATTACTGAAAACAATATGCATAAACTGCTTTTACGAAAACAAAAAAGCATTAATAAATTCGGTGAAAAAAATTTATTGTGTATTTTTTGTAAAAAATTTATTGTGTTTTCTTGTTTTTGTAAATAATATCGGAAATATGCAATGCAAATATAAATGCCATTTTAAACTAGCAGTGTTTTTTATTGCTTTACTAAGAAATTGAGAGCTAAAATTATTAATTTATCAAATTATTTTATGAAAAGGCCATCAAAACAAAGCTAAATCCAAAATTTGAATCAAAATAAAACAAATTTTAGATAGTTAATTGTACATTATAACGTCTCCAAGGGACGTTATTGTTTACAGCTATAGATAACATTGCATCCATTATACTCATCTGCGTTATACACGCCGTTTCTGCCCGTCTGCGTATTTTCTCTTGTTATTATTCATTTAACTTTCTTTGAATATCTTTTTCGGGTATTCGTTTGGCTTTCATACAGATGGCTCATATAAGGTTTTTTTTCCATATTTCACATAATACTATGTATTTTACAACAATTTTGTACTGTGGAATAGGAAGATTTCTCTTCGTAAGGCACAAAAACATATCATTCAATCAACAGAAAATTTAGCGTTTAAAATTTAGTATACGAAATTTAGTGTTAATCAAAAGTTTTGGGATAAATTTTTAATATTCTTAATGAAAAATTAAAATCGTTTGCGAGAAAACTTGGAATGCAAAATATATTCAAGTTATATCAGAATAACGATCTTAAAGCTACAGATGTTCCTAAAGATCACACCCTAGATATTCAGTTTTGGTTATGATATAACCGCCCTGAAGTTATCAAAATTCGTCCATATTCTTCGGACTTAAGTCCTATGGAATATATATGGAGTGAGTTGAAGGATATGGAAGCAAGATATTTCTTCGAAAGCTCTTCTAAAATCAATTCATACGGAGGAACAATAAAAAACAGAACATTCTTACGCGAAAATAAATTATTGAATCCATGAAAAAGTGCATGGAAAGTGTAATTTTAACAAAGATATCTAACAAAATTTTGAATGTCCCTTTTTTTCGTGTTTTTTTTTATAAATAAACTGTTTATTCAAAGTGCCCGATATAAACTGTTTATTCACAGGTAAAGAAGACTGCCATTTATAGTGAACTTTTTTTGCGTTAAACAGAAACATTCTTGTATACTACTATTTCTAAAAGATACTATGAAAAGATCCTTTTAAAATGATTTTCTACATAATATGTTGTTACTCATTTCTTTTAAATGTAAGATAGAAATATCGAAGATGTAAACAAATATATTAATTTAATTACTCTTTGTTTTGAAGCTGAGGATGGCAACGATTTGTAAAGCAGCTTAAAATGGAATCCCAAGTTTTAAAACTTTTCTATTTTGGAAAACAATAAAGATATTATTTTTATCTATTTAAATTTGCGAATTTTTAAGATTCCAATAATGCAATCAGTAAGATGTAAATATTGTTAAGACTTAATTTTAGGATTTGCATCCTGCGAACTTTTTTATGTTAGTTTTAAGGTATTATGAGATGAAGGAGCTTTAAGGCATAAATTGCCTACTTGAGGTATTATGTATTTTTCTTTAGTTATTATTTCCAGCGTCTAGTTAATATAATTCAGAACGGCGAAGGAAAAAAAAAAAAAAAAAAAAAAAAAAAAAAGACGAAGAAAAATGAAGGGCGAACAGAAAAGAAATGTGCGTGGCGTGGATGTATTCAGCTGATGATGTTTGCAAGAAGTGTTACATTTACAAGAAGTGTTTCGAAAATAAGAGTAATCAAAAGCAGTCTGAAAAAGGTCATTGAGCAGTCGAAAAGTTTTAGTTTTTTCCATGCGCTGGACGAGTTTAGCACATCAAAAAAGTTATTCGAGACAGATCAATAGAGAATGAAAACAAAAGTTGAATGCTGACCAGGACGCAGATACGTTAGCTGGCCATTTTAATTTAAAGCATTACTTGACTCGTTAGAGAATCGGGAGACTAACTAGTAATAAATGATTGACATAATAAAAAAAATCATTAACATACACAGTTTTGTTCGTTTATCTCATTCAAAATACTTTTAATGCAATTAGTTATAGGCTATTTCTTAAATTATTTTTCATATGATCAAATTATAAATAAACATACAATCTAAAGTTTCACAGTTTTTAATTTCTTTACATGTAGTTATTTTTGTCTTTTTCAGCAGAAGTATCTTATTTCAAACAATATTTATACTACACAAAACTGAATCTTGTTTTGAATTTCCTTACCTATCCTATAGTTCCACTTTGCGCATGTGCAACTTGTTCTCCAACTGGAGAAGTCGACATCGCCGTCCATGCTTCTACATCCGTGACGTCGTAAAGTACGTCACAGTTGAAAACACCGGAGCGAAAGAATACTGCTAAGTTCTGCATCAGCTGTGTTTGTATTACTCCTTGTCGGCGGGTTCGAAAAAGTGTTCGTCCAGCAGCGGAAAGAAACAAAATGGATACTTATTTCTTTGCTGTTTTTTTGACATTCACCGGTAAGTTATTTCCCACCTCTTTTAGATGACTTGCCACAAGAAAATTTTTAATTACATATTCAAAATGTCGCAATTGTTAAAATTTCGGTATTTTTTTCGTAATTCAAATAAACTGAAGTCATTTTATTATGTAATGCAATTTTAAATGAATTGCTTGAGGCTTACGTTCTGATTAATTAAAAAATTAACATTTTATTAAATGTGTAAGTGATATAATTTTAACGATGAATGAGTATGGAGACAAAAGTTCTCGGTGCCATATGTTGTAACAAAGTTTCACAAAAAAGGCAATTATTGAGGCTTTGTTCTGACATATTTATGGCGGATCGGATAAAGCCGCGGAACACTGGTAGTTCTTTTCCAGGCGATTCAACGGATTGGCTGAATATAATTCTGACTTTCTAAAAAAGCAAACATCTTTCCTAAGGTTTGGTTCAGTTAATCATGGCAAAGCACAAATGGTATAAAAGGAAGATTATTTACGAGCAGCACTTGTTAAGGAAGACTGGTTCGCATTCAGGGTACACAAGTTGAAACACAAATGCTATCATCCAGGTAGCTCATTTTCCGGGATTTGGACCCGTATCGAACCACTGGTATTCACGGTTTTATCGCTCCGCCCTTGGTGGACTTATCCAAGGAATAAAAGATGTTACAGAAACAAAAAATTGATGGCATAGCAAATTATTTATATTAATTAGTCCAAAGGCGCTTTGTCCCTGAAGGACTATTGTTTTCGTTTTGCGATTTTGCGTTGAATCACTATAAGTGTCCTTTTTCACTTTTCAAACTGTTGCCACCAAATGTTAGAGTCCTGTATTATATTTGAAGAAATTAAATAATGGAAAATTTGCATAAATGTATGTATATTTCTCGCATTGTGATAAGAAAACGGTGCATAGAGCCATCGAATTTTGAATGACGTAATCTTACTGCGAATATGGGCATGTGGAAGCCAAATTTGAAATTTGGAATTTGTTTTATTATCAATTTCATATTTTGTAAAACTTTAACGAATTTTTGAGTAACAAACTCAACAATTTGAAAGCGAGCAATGGCAACAATCTACGGGAGGGGGGAGATAGGCTCATTTTAAAATTATTTTGCGACATTGCTATTGAACTGAAATTTATGGTTTAAGTTCGAAGAACAAAATATTTAATAAATAACGGTAGCACGCAAAACGTTAAAAAAAAGTGCCTTTGGAACGTAATTTAAAATCTCAAACCTTTCAGATTTTTACTTTATCGTTTGTAGTTATTATCATTTATAATGAAATGAGAAACTGGCATTAGTTATTTCTAAGAAACAGTATAGCTTCGGAAAGATCTTTTTGACCATAGATTCGATTTGATAAACTTCTGAGCTGAGAAAAGTCTTTCCACACTGAGGAAGAGTTCTTACTGGCTACTTCTTTTAATTTTTCAGTATAGATTTTTATAAGTTCTAAAAGAGGTGTTTTACAAGAGCAATCATATTTCTCTATTTCTTCAAAGGCCGTGTAGAAATCTTGTTTGTATTTCTTCATCTTTATATCTAAAGGCTCTTGGTTCTTTATTTTCATTTGCTTTGCCTTAGCCTTTTCAATATTATCCAAAAATATATCTCAAAATCTAATTCATCACTGAAAGAGGATAATATAGACTCAGTTGCAATGTCTACAGTTTGACTGTACTGATTTGAATACTCCAATTGTTCTGAAAATAATTTCATTCTTATTGGAAGTTCATGTATGGCTTTCTTAGCCTTCTTACTTTGTTCGTCATCCAACAAAATTCGGTGTTTTGGATTTACATATATTGAACTCAGCAAGATCTCATTGTCTAGCAGACTAGTTTCTCTTTTTCTTCATTGAAGAAATAATTCCTTCTGCAATAAACCTTCCATTTAAGAAAGAACAAACATCACATTCTACCATTCTCGCCTACTGTTAATTTTTAGGGATTGTAGCTTTTTTGTGGCTATATACAGTGTAGAAAGAAGAGTTTCCAATCTGAAAGATCATTTACAGTCTTTCTGATAGTGAAACATTAGGGTTATCTTCATCTTCTAAAAACGTTCTTAATTCTAACAACCTCTGTATCATCAGATATGTAATTCCTCATCGTGCTGCTTGATCAATAAATTGCTCCTTTTCCTGCTCGCTTCCTAAGAACGGCATCAATTTTGGGAGTTCTTTGCTGCTTACATAAATTTACCAGGGAGATTTGTAACTAAATGGATCAGTTTAGTCGCTAACGGCAAATATCACATTTATCCACCTCTCTTATATTTATTTATTAATATGGGGTAATATAATAGAAAATAACTATTTATTAATTTATATAGTCCATAAAAATAATAATTCACTTTGTCATTAATTTGTTTTTCAATTCACGTTAATTTCATTTCAAATTCAAACTGTCCAACAAAAACTGGAGTCGGAGTCAACCTGTTTTTAGCACTCCAGCTCCGACTCCTTTTAGCCCCCAAAGCTGCCCAACTCCGATTCCGACTCCACAGCCCTGGCTGGCTGCATGAGCGTTTTCGTGATTTATCCTGTCTGTAACGTGTATAGAAGCCAGTTTCCCCTAGAAAAATCCTCCACGAAGGCATCCCTCCTCTTAGGCAGATAGTCCTCGAGGTTTTGCCGTAATCCCATAAACAAACAAACCCTCTTCATTTTAGTTTGGGTACTTCGCCTTTCTGCCTCCGAAACAGTAACTTTTTATAATAATTTTCTCTGAACTGCGATATTTCTAGGTTAAACCAATATCATATGACTTATACATAACACTCTGACGATTATATATCACTCTGACGAAAACAACTTATATAAGCTTTCAACCAATAATAATTATTGTAGAACTGTATTAATTACTTGATCAAATGGTATTAAAACCGAAGTTAACTCATTTTGAATTAAGATTTCATCCTGCACTTTGGGTAAGCTAGACTACTGCTTGTTGCCCTTTTCGTATCGCAACAGTATGAAAAATGTAAATGTTACGTTCTGGAATACCTTTAGTGTGCTAAGTTATCTGTAATTGCAAAATCTTTAACTAAAATAAAGAAATATTATTTACATTAGCTACGACTGCTTCTTATTAGATCTTTTACATCTGCAAGTACGCTTCATGCTTCAGTATATCATGTGTGCGACATTTCTCAAATCATCACAGACACACACACACAATCGAGGACTATCTACCTTAGAGTGTATATATACTCTTTTGGAAGGTTTTCTAAGAGGAATTTTCTTTAGTATATGAGAAATTACAAAACACTTATACTCACCCATCTTAAACTCCAATAACTGCAAACCCTCGCGTATTATCCGTATCTTATCATAAGGACTTCCTATTCATTGTCATTTGTTTGTTTGTCTTAAACAATGATTCATTTTCATTGTTTAGGTGCTTTAAAAAAAAGTGTTTGAGAAATACATTTTATGTGTCACTTGTAAACAATCATTTGACTGATTTGATTTCTAACCGTCTTGTGTTTCCATGACGGTCTGCTATTTGTAACATCTTTGTAAAGTATAAAAGACAATGAAAGTGTTTAAGAAAAGCGTTTTAATCTTACTCGTCTATCGTGCCCGAAGAATAAATTTGTATGCTGCTGTACCCAAGTGTGGATTTTCGTGGAAAGACGTAATAACAAATTCTTCCCATTATTTCTACAAATTTGTTTTTATTGTGAAAATACCTTTCATTAAGTAGCAGAATGTTTGAACTGTATTTCAAATAGTTTAAAATTTAAATAATATTGCCAATAAATTTCCGTGATTGAAAATGAAAGGAAATTCTAAATACCCGTATTTGAAAGCAATCAAAACTTTCTGTTCTATCTATTGGATTTGTTTCAATTTAGAAAACTGAAAAGGCCTATCTGAACTTCACATTTCCTGCCAATCTTTATTTGCGCAGCTTTTATTTAAAAATGTTGCAGAAAAGCACACTCCAACCTTTCTCAATATTTACTATACATACATGGTGTTTTCACCTCTGGCTTCGGCTGTGTACCTTCGAGGTTTTGTACTTCACGTTTTCTAAGGTTGTGAAAATTTGGAAACTTGCCAAAATAGCACCAGGCATAATGATTCAAACATTTTTCCCAGTTTTTGAAAACGGCGGGAATTTAACCTTAAATATTGATTTTCTGTGTACCTAATGAATTGTTTTGTTATAATCTAATCCTGTAAGATAACAGACTGTTTATTACACGACATCATTTTCACTGATAAGCGATAATTTAATTATTCAAAAATTAAGCCTACTTTTGTGTTTTACAAGCAAACTTTGCATTAGAATAGTTTCTTATGTAATTTTCTCATTGTCTTTCTTGGCAGATAAAGAATATGAAATGGTAAAAATATGAAAAATGTGGTATAATGAACACGACATTGTATGCTAAATCTTTATGATTACTGTATTACTCATCGTTCATAAATTATACAAACGAAAGTAATTAGAATTTGTTTATGATTTTTCATTTTAATCGCAAAGTTACGTACTTCGATTATTTTAATTTAGGTCCAGAAATATCGGGTAATTTTTACATTTATAATATTTTTAAAATATAGCTTGAAGAAAAATTCAGATTACATTTATTTTGAAGTAGAAAACCTATATTTTAATTTTATCATTTCACGAAATTTATATTTCAGTTTAAGAAATTAAGATCAGGCGTAAAGATTATTTTTCATTTGGGGTCTGATAACGAGTTTTGAGGATAAAACAAACTACACATTCAGAAACAAAGTCCAAAATTAAGAATCAGCGTAAATTTTTAAGAACTTTAATTGTTATTCAGCGTGATATTTAAACTTAACTACACATTTTTACTAAATTAAGTCACATGTCTTATCACTTAGTAAGAGGCAATCGACCATTAATGGCCTTTACCAATATATTATATTTTACTTTTAAATGCGTGAAGAATTGAGTAAGTTGTATCCAATAATATGGAAGTACTTGTGCACATGCTGTGCTAGAACTCAGAGATTACTAGCGACG